CCCCCACACCCCCTCCCCAAAGTTAACACGCGTCCCCACCCGCTGACATTTGAGCCATCTTGAACCAAATGATTCAAAACGGAAAGAGGACAGCGAGGCGGAGGCCGGACGCCGTCCCCGTCTACGAAGGCGCCTTCCCGTCGTTCCGTGCCGAAACTGCGGCCAGGCGGACTCACGAGCTAACAGGCTAACAGGCTAACGCGGGGGTAGCGGGCGGCGGCGCGCGCTCACGTACCTCTGAGGTCCAGTTCTCGGTCCCTCACCGGGTTCGTGTACTGAGCCGCCTGCTCGATCAGCTCCGCAGATAGCTTCACCATTTTCAGCCCGAATCCAAAGCAGCGAGACGATTCGCTTCTTTTCAACGCCGAGCATGCGGAAATGGCGCAGGCGACTGTCACCCGGAAATAATTCAACTTCCCGCTCGGACCGCCCCCTTTGTTTATTTCCGGTTCAATCCGAAGACGGCGGAAGCACGTTGTTCTGTTGTTCGGCTAGCTTAGCTGTGGTCGTAGTTTCAAGCCTCTTTAATATGTGGCGTGGGTTGCTCGCGCTCACAGCGGAGAGCATCCGACTCGACTGCCGAGACGCGCTTCACTCGAGTGACGTTGCTACAGTACGCGCGCGCAGATTATGGAGCAGCTTCCGGACAAACGCAAATTGCCCACCGTGTAGAGCCATTTTGATCTCCTTTTGGAGAAGAAGGTATTTATTCAAATCTCCTTGTCTCACCGAGTGCCTCTCGGATTTTTCACGTCTTATTCCATTGTGTGTGTGTGTGTGTGTGTTCTCCACAGCGGGGGAAAGAAACGCAACAGACTGAAATTTAAAATACTGGAGCATCTTATTTTTCGACACAAAAATGTGTGAAGACAAAGCCGACAAGAATCCTCATTCACGTGATTGAAACACAATGATACAATATGAATGCACGGATGTGAATGATATTGTATACACTTCATCATCAAATCAGTCCGTCAAGTGGGTTCGCTGCAGGGATTTTGAAGGTCCAGGAGGTGGAAGTGGTCAGCGGCGGCACAGTATCAACACAGTGTATCGACCTCATGGACCCATCACTAGTGCTGCCGAACGTGGCGAGAAAAGACAAAATTGACTTCAATACGCAATTGAAGCATATTGATCTGACGAGAGACGATGATTCGCGGGTGACCCTTCAGTCATACACCTTTGATGAGGTCAGCTGACTTGCACTCTCCCGCATATCATCGTTCTGCCGACAGAACCTGAGTGCCCTTTTTGTTGATGTCGTCGGCATCCCGCAGGTGTTCGCTCCTGGCGCCACCCAGCTTGAGATCTACAACACAGTTGTGCCTCCCGTATTGGATGATGTCCTCCGAGGGTTCAACTGCACCATAATTGCGTCAGTACACACACACACACAAGGCACCTGCCGACGGCCACCTCCTCGGGCGCCATTTTGGACTTGAATGATCAATGGAAATTGCACACTCCTCCCTAATTCGGTGGTGCGTTGAATTGTGGCCAGACATTGCAAATTCCCGGAGGGGCTGAACATTGTTCTTGGCGGATGCGTTGCAGTTACGGGCCGATGGGAACGGGCAAGACGCACACCATGGTGGGATCACGGGATTCGTATGCGGGCCGCAGGCGGCGCCAGGCAAGTTTGACGCGCCTTTCATTGGCCGATGGCCCCCCACCCGCCGCGAACGTTTCACGACCGCTTGGCTCTCGTAACGTTGGCAGGACTCGGATTCAGGCATCATCCCGAGGTTCATTTCCAACATTTTTGGGCACCCGGGTGGCCATGAATTCCCCATGAGCATGACAATGTGCGAGATACACTGCGGGGCTACCGCGGATCTGCTCCAAGAAGAGGTCAGGTCGCGCCACCGCCGGCAGAGAAGGCCAGCTGGAAGCCTGCGCAAAGTGAAGGTGCGCTCAGCATACGTGGCCTGGCAAATCCTCCGGCGCGGGCTCGCCAGGAGGAAGACGGCCCGCACGCCCTTCAACGCCCGCTCCAGGTTGGACGCCCGCCGCCCCGTCTTTGATTCGGGAAGGTTTTGACTTGCGGCGTTCACTTGTCTTGAATTTGTGCGCAGCCGCTCCCGCGTGGTCTTGCCCGTGACCGGCAGGAAGAGGAACCGGGATGGGACAACCACGACCGGGACACTCAACCTGGTAAAGCAAACTTCAAGGGACCGGACGAGTGTCGACACACGTGCCCGTGTCCTCAGACTCCGTTTTTTTTCCGTCATTTTTTTCCTCCAATTTGTCAATGCTTTGCAATGCTTTGCAATGCTTGATGCTGGTGCCACCCCTTGCGGGTTTGTGTCGGGTGCAGGTGGACCCGGCGTGCAGCCCGACCTTCGGGCACACCGTGGACGCGCCCAGGAACGTGACGAGTGATATCCATGAGTCGCTTGTGGCGCTGCGCCGCGTCATCGCAGCTCTGGTGCAGAGGAGTCCTCACATCCCATACAGGTGCAGCGCCCGCACGCACGCGTCCGATGACAGACGTCGATGGTGGAGCTGACCTGGTCGCTGGCCCACTTCCTGTAGAGACCACCCCTGTGACGTCGCTTAGCGGTTTATTTTCAAAATTCGCGCGCTTCGGTCTCCATTCGGATACAGCAGGTGACAATTTTAGAAAAAAAAATACATGTAGATAACCCTGAAATTGTAGCACAATATATTTTTAATATTTCCCTATGCCACCATAAAGAAGTCCTATCTGTGCTTGGAGCACATACCCCCCCCACCAGTCCGGGCTAATGCTAACCGCCATTATTAGCGCCCTTCAACATTCAGGCTAAACTCGAGACGGAATTGTCTTCGTTTTGTAACTGTCAAAGGACAAATATTAAGCTAAGCATGAAATAAATGTACTCACCACGTCTTTTCTGAATGTCTCACCGGAGCGTGCCTGGGCAACAGTGGGCAAAGAGCGTCGTCGTTAACTGCCAGCGCTGTCCTCCTCCTCCTGGGCAAACGGCTAGTGCCTCGCGAGGTTCACACCCAGTGAGCAGGGCCCTCGCCTGATTATTGTTTCGGGAGGGTTGTGGGGCGGTTACTCCCAATCCCCTCCGTTCCGGCGGGGCGAGCGCTGGACGCCTCACCCGCCGGCTGGTAGGCGTTTAGCCGCGTCAGGGGCCCAAGAGCCACTCGAAGGAATCCCACCACGCTAGACTACTTCTACTTCCTTCTCCTCCTCCTCCTCCTCCTCCTCCTTCTTCTTCTTCTCCTTCTTCTTCTTCTTCTTCTTCTTCTTAATTGGCGTGTAGCAGCTAACGTTTGTGGTCCTCTTACTGTATCGGAGTGTAGCAATACTTGAGTGTTGTCGATTAAAGTACGTACGAGGAAAAAAAAACAAAAAACACGAAAAATGAAAGCTTGTGTAAGTTCAGGGGTTCGTAGGTTTTGGATGGATTGCTCTTCGTTCGGAATGGGCAAAAAGGGGAGATGGACTTCGTTTGAACACAGCTCTTTTTATTTTTTAACGTCTGCCTCGCAACTCTTTTTTTTTTTCAAACAATCTCAATTGAACAAGTCACAATACAATTCTCAGTAAACAGAAAACAAAACGAACACGTTATTAATACATGTACTTATTCCAAACATTTGAACAAAAAGGGAAGCCAGGGGATTTTTAAACAAAAATTTCAAATAACGAGCATATAGCCAGAGTTTGAACAGCTTTCTTGTTTTTGGAATCCTTCATAGAACTCAGATACTGCTTTGTTTGAAAAAATAAAAAAAAGGTTTTGGTTTTGAATTACTCCATCTGGATTTGTGGATATGGAATTTAGCAATAATGATTATTAAATTTATAATGGTTCGATTAGTGTTTTTTCCCTTACTTTTGTAGAATCCAAATAGTACATTTTCCAGCATAGCATACAGTCAGAGTCAATACATTCAATAATCAATCTAGATACAGCTTTCCAAAATGTGTTGGTATACGGGCATATATATATATATATATATATACACACACACACATACACACATACAGTACAGGCATGGGGAGCACATAACTTCACACAGAAAGGTCGGCCCCCAGATTCAAACCGATGGCCTCTGCACTTGGAGGCAGACGTGCAAACCAGTTGACACCATGCCGCCCACTTCTTTTATTCATTCCAGAAATATTTCCATTTGTTTGTCCCCCAAACATACTTTGTCATCCGCCGCTATTTTTTGTAACTACGGAATGGACGTGTGATGTAATATTGGGTCAAAACGCGCAACGTGGTACCCGGTCCTGTCAATGTTCATTCGCAAAGCCTGTTTCCAGACAAAACGTGCATTTTTCCTTCCTAAAAAAAATCGGTGGATGGAAAAGCACCGAATTATTACTGAGACGAATAGAACCAAATCAACTGTTAAAAAACCAAACCAGAAAAAAAAGCGACACATATGCTCTTTTTCAAGTTTCTTTGGCTTCAAAACAAGTGACAATGTTCTTCCCTTGTGGTAAACGGGAAACGGAGTGGCCTTTGCCTTGACCACACGAATTGTCAAGCTCTTTCGGAAAAGTGTGACAAGGACGTGTGCACGCGCGTTTCGTGTTTTTTGTGCGTCGGGGTTCGTCGGGTTTTCTTCCGTTTTTTTTTTGGTTGCGCTTTTGTTTGTTGCGGTGGGGTTTTGTTCGGGCCGGCCTCGGAGGGGGCGTCGCTGTTATTCTGAAGTCATGATGACGGAAGTGACGACGATGACGCTTCCGAGCCCAGGCGGACTTTTGATTAAAGCTGACAGTTTTGACGCCTAAAACCCCGCAAGATGCAGTCGAGTTGGATGCGTGTGCAGGAGGCCGTTGCGAGCGAGAGTTTTGGAGCCGCGACGACGAGAGAGCAAAATGCAGCGCTGACAAGTTGAACCTCTGGGTTTTGCCTCGCCGCCGCCGCCGCTTCTTCTTCTGCCGCTGCCGCCGCCGCTGTCGCTTTTTCCTGCCGCCTGGACGCTGATTGGTTCGTCAAATGTCCACTCGCCGCGTGTCAGTCAACGTTCGTCGTCTCGAGTCGGCTTCTCGTCGCGCACTCGTCTCGGACGTCGCAATCACTTCGCTCCACGCTCGATGCCCGCGCGCAGTCCCAAACATTCCGCGGAACGTGTGACTGTTTGGGGCTAGCCTCCGCGGCTAACCAGCGCTAGCTTCCCGGCGCAACATTCGAGCCCAGCGGCGTCGCGTTCAGTCGCGCGTCGACGCCAAACGTCGAATCGGTCCACCCGAAGCGTCTTCGGGCTCTCGCTTCGACTCGGCCCCGCGGGCGCGCGCACTCGCACCCGCACCCGCGCCGTTAGCCCGCGCGGCTAACGGCGCTAGCACAAAGGACCGCGTTTATGGAGCGTCCCCTCCGCGCAAATGTCAACTCGGTCCACTCGAAGAAGTGTTTTGGTCGCAACTCCCGCGGCGCCGCCGTCGTCCGAGCTCCGCGCTCATCCTCTGACGGCGGTTGGGGGGCAGAGAGCGACTCGGGCAGTCGTTGGCTTCGTTCCGACTCGGCCGTCGCCTCGGAGAGATTTCCAGTGCGGCGACTGTCCGAGGCCACCTGGTCGGTCCCTCCGGCCCGCGAGCCGATTTGCAAAAGACGACCTAGCCACCCGCGTCTCGAGCTCAAACGAGTGATTGGGGAGTAGTCGTCCACTCAACCGCGCTCGGACGGAGATTTCAAGTGCGCGTTTCGGTCGGCGACGCGACACGACGAGATGCGTTTCGGAATGGCCGCTTGAACCCGAGTGCTCCGCGCCAAGAATTTTGCAAATGGGCGAAGCTTTCCGGAGCGGTCGAGGTCCTTTTCCCCTCAGGTGAGCTTTTGAGAAATGTTTCAAAGCGATCGCGCTTCCAGAAAATCCGCTCGCCTTCTCATTGGAGTCAGTCAGTCAGACGGGATCGAACTTGAGTCTTCCTCAATCGGTTTCTCCGCTTGTCTGAGCCGTTTGTGACCTCAACTCAGCTGTGTTTGTTTAAAACAACCAACGCCGTGTGCGCTCGGTGCATGGATTTAAATGTGAAATTGCACCATGATGGCGGGCTCTTGTCACGTTGATCATTTGAGCGGGTTAGCGCCGCCTTTGCCTTGACCCTCCACAATTTCTCCAGCTTTTCGTGTCCCTTTTTCTGGACGCGGCCATCATTCGGGATTCCCGTATCCCTCTGGCACTTTGATAGAGCGATTCACACCTTTTGTCTCGGCCAGATGCCCGTCGCGCACGTGACGTCGGAGTCGGCCGATCCTCCATCGTGCGTCACCAGTCGCTCCAGAATGCCGCCACTCGCCTCTCGACCGGGACTCGCGCGAGCGGGCGCGTGAACTCCTACTGCGCTATCCTTCCGCCGGCTCGTTTTGGAGTTCTTTTGAAGGTCCTGTGATTTGTTTTCAAATCTCGAACTGGCCTGTCCCCGCCTGACCTCCGTGCGCTCCCTCCCTGCCTGCTGCCTCAGCTCCGCACGGGACCGGACACTAGCGAGAAGGAAGCGGCGGCGCTGAGTTGACGGAGCCTTTTCCTTTGCCGCTCCCTCTTTGGAAGGAACATTCGGCAAGTCCCCTCGCTGCCTATCTTTAAAAAAAAAAATCCTCTTCAAACTCATTTTTATTCTTTAGCTTTTGACTCGGCGGGATGAGACCTGATTTTTTTTTCGCGTCAGTGTTTTTGTGCCTTCTACTGCCTTCCTTATTCCTGGATTGTACGTATCGAATGCGTTTTGCTCCGCGTACGCGGCGCCGGTTGTTTGAAAGTGCCCGAGAAACACAGCCGAGTTGAGAGACTTCACCTGACGTTGAGGCGGCACCGCTCTGTCAGGAGGCCGGTTGGCTCTCAGCACTTTGCCCGTCTGGATCCGGAAGTCCCGCGGGATCTCGGCCGGGAGCTCGGGAAGTGTCCGTCATCTCGATTCTCCGCACGTTTTATTTCTTGTTCTTTTTCGTTGTATGAACATGAATTCGGCACTTTAAAAACATGTTTTTTTTTTTTTGAAAAGCAGCCGGCTTTTCATCGTCTTTGGGTGAGGATCTTGTCTTGGGAATTGTACCGAGTGTCGGTTTAACCCCCGGCTGCAACCTTGGTGCGTTGCAGGAAATTCCAAGTGCGAGCTCGCAAGCGTCCGCTATGAAGAAGAGAAGTTTGTCTCTTCAGCTGATAAAAAGGTACGAGGCAACGCCGTCGCGGGAACCCGCCGCGATGCGGTGGCCGCGGTCGACCCCGAAAGCGACCGTTGACGACGTCGGCGGCGGCGGCGGCCTCTTTCAGCCCGTCTTTCCCTGCCAGAGGTCAGGTCGGAGATGAACCTTCCCGTTGCGAAATGTGATGGCAGGATGCTGAACTGCAGGAACCCCGAGCTCCACGAGGAGCTGCAGATCCAGGCGGCGGTGGCGGCGGGCGACGTGTACACGGTGCGGCGGATGCTGGAGCGCGGCTACTCGCCCAAGATCCGCGACGCCAACGGCTGGACCCTGCTGCACTTCTCGGCCGCCAAGAGCAAGGAGCGATGCGTGCGCGTCTTCCTGGAGCACGGAGGTCAGCCCCCGAACGTCCTCCCTCCCTTTCCTCGCGAGTCGTCGGCCCGGACGGGACGCCTTTCGCGCGAATCCCGAGACGCGAGCGCCACGTCGGGCCCCCGAAACGTCCGTCGGTCGCTTCTGCCCGCGCCGTGAAAAAGCGGGCGTACCCGGGGTACGGGGTCAACCCCTACGCGGAAATAGTGGTCTCGGGCGCCCGACGCCGACAAATAACGCGGCGGCTCGTCCCCCAGCCGACCCGACGGTGAAGGACTTCATCGGGGGCTTCACGGCGCTGCACTACGCCGCCATGCACGGGCGCGCCCGCATCGCCCGCCTGATGCTGGAGTCGGACTTCTGCGGCGACATCATCAACGCCAAGAGCTACGACGGCTGGACGCCGTTGCACGTGGCGGCCCACTACGGCCGAGACTCCTTCGTGCGCCTCCTGCTGGAGTTCCGCGCCCAGGTGGACCCGCTGAGCGACAAGGGCACCACGCCGCTGCAGCTGGCCATCATCCGCGAGCGCTCCAGCTGCGTGCGCATCCTGCTGGACCGCGGCGCCGACATCGACATTCAGAACGGCTTCCTGCTGCGCTACGCCGTCAGCAAGGGCAACCACTCGTACTGCCGCATGTTCCTGCAGCGCGGCGCCGACACCGACCTGGGCCGGCTGGAGGACGGCCAGACGCCGCTGCACCTGTCGGCGCTGCGCGACGACGTGCTGTGCGCGCAGATGCTCTACGCTTACGGCGCCGACACCAACGCCAGGAACTACGACGGCCAGACGCCCGCCGCCGTCTCCGTCGGCGTGTCCGGACACAGCAGGCCGTGCCTGGACTTCCTGCGGGACGTCACCAGTGAGTACAAAAACGGACGGGCGCCGCTTCGGCGGCCCGTCTTCCGCCGTGCTTTCAAAAAAAAAACCAAAAACAAACATTTCCCTTCAGGAGCGGAAAAGTTCTTTTTAACCGCGGGCACGCGCAAAGGAATTGAGTTCATTGGTCCATCGGCGACCTTTGTCATCAGTTGCGCTCGTCGTTGAGTTTGGGCAGCCCAAAGCGCCACGGCCGCGGCTCCTCATTCAAGAGTCGCTCACCGTCGACCGGCGAACAGCCGCGTCGGCGGGTCCTCGACCTCAGGGACGCCGCGCTCCCTCCCTTTTGTCGCGGGCCGCACCCTCGTTGGGCTTTTCTTCGGTGGGCCGTGAAACGGACTCGACGTAGGATGGCCTGGGATTGCACGTTCTCGCTCCTCATTCCGTTGATTTTGAAAAGCGCGACCGGTGACCCAACGGGCGTTGCGCTCTCTCCACCTTCTTCGAGTTTGGCAGCGGCGCTCCATCGGGCAGACGAACGGCGCGCGGATCAAAATCCAACGCCCGACGGCGCTTGCGGCTTGAGTCCCATCGGTAGCGCCCGACTTGACTCCCTCCCCCCGGCCGGGTGTGGTGTTTGCGTTTGTCCTCAGAGCGTCCCCGGAGCCTGCAGGACGCGTGTCGCATCAAGATCCGCCGGTGCGTCGGCCTGCGGCGGCTGTGCCTCCTGGAGGAGCTTCCCGTCGCCAAGGTCATGAAGGACTATCTCAAACACAAGTTTTAACGCCGCCGCGCACGACGCCGGGAACAAGTACGAAGAAGGCGGGGGTGAGGGGGGGGGGCGCTTACGCAATGACTCGCCTCCCCCAAGTCCCGGGCCGGCCGTCTGCCGTCTTCCTGCTGAGTTGCGGAAAGTGCGACTGGCCGCTTGCTGTCCGGTGTGTGTGTTGGCACAATGTAAATACCTGACAGATATTTTTCTACCTTTTATTTAAACACTGCTCATATTCAACGCGCGCGTGTGTGTGTGTTAGAATGGAGAAACTTGAGTTCTGAATCGCCACAGAAAGTTGTTCCCATTCTCAATGTGGAAGACGAACAATCATTTGTTGACTTTGTCACTTGCCGTCGGCGACCACGACGCGAGACCAATTCGCAAAACGCCGCAGCGAGCGGCCCCTCTTGTTGTCGTGGCGTTCTTCGAGCCGAACGCCTTGACTTCCCGCCATCCCGGAATAGTCGCCTCGCCGCGGGCGTCGCCGTGACAACACGGGTCACCGCGTCCACCGAACGAGTTGAATTTGTTGACACTTTCTTGCTCTGTTTGTCCCGTGAAACTTTGGTTTCTCTCCTCCGACTCGCCTGCGCCCCGATGAAGCGGAATTTCTCATTTGAACAAGTGTCTTCTTCCTCCCGATAGCCTAACTTGTTTCTCTCATTGAGATTCTGACCCCCCCGCCCCCCCAACTTGCATCAAGGGAGTCAGAAATCGTTGGGCGAGTTCCTTTGCGTTGTGCTTCTTGACATCTCGACGCTTCTCATCTCGGCATTTTGGGGGGGAAAGCAAGTGAGCGACTTCCTGAATGTACACCGATGTGCGGGGGGTGTCAATAAAGCTACCACGTCTCTGTTAAGCTGTGCTTGATTGATTGATTGATTGGGGGGCGGGGTTACGAAAGGGTTGCAGCTGAGCAGGTTGACTCGACGACAAGCTGGAGACGAGGCCTGCAAGCCCGAGGAAGAAGAGCAACTTCTGCACCCTGAACTGGTGGCCGGCCAATGGCAGGGCACACACACACACGAACTCATACACACGCCAAAGGACAATTTCGGGGCTTCCATTCACATGTCCCACAACACACAACGCACACGTCCATTGTGCGGGGTGTTTTGTTCGTGACGATTCAAGCGTGTTTTGAAGGTGTGGACCGGAAGCGTTTGTGTGACGTGCACTTTTGTGTGCCGTTGTTCTGGTCGGCGAAAAAGGAAGTGACTCGGGTGGGACTGCCGCAGTCTGGTGCGGTGCGACTCTTCGTCATTGCGTCCAAGCAACGAGCATCCACGTCGATGTCGCGCGGTGAGTGACTTTTCCAACTTTGCTCTCCGTTTGAGCTCATCGCCGCTGCAAAACTCAGCGGCGGGGGGGGGGGGCGGCGTGACATCACCCTGCGCCCCCTCCCCTCACATTTCATTTGGCGATCGCGATGATTGTCAAGCTTTTCAAAGAAAGCAAAACGCCCGCAAGTCAAGAAATGCGCCCGCCACGTGTGCCGCGTCTCGGTGGCTGAGGAAACCGTGAGTCAGTCGCCTCTGTTTTTTTTTTGGAAACGGTGGGAAATGAATCCACCAACCAAAGCAATCTTCAGTGAGCTACTTGCTCACGTATAAGGGTGCCGATCAATTCTCGCCACGAAAAAAAAAAGGATGGCATGATAACGCGATAACCTCAATGTGACATTCGATTGCGAAGAGGTTCACGTTATAAAGTGTTCATTTTTCACTTCTGCATCGGTCAAAACGGAGCCATTTCTTCCGGTTTTCAGGCGAGCGGCCGAGTCCTTTTTTTGCGTGTCCTAAATCAAAGTTGCCAGCCGTCTGAACCGGCCGCTCCGCAACATCAAAACAAGGGCGCGCGCTTAACAAAGACGCGAGAAGCAGACTCCCGTCCCGGAAGAAATTGCTTGGGTTTGCCTCGCCCGATGCGGAAGTCCGACCGATGACCAGATTTATCTTTGCAAGACCGAGAGAGGAGCCGCCGCGCCGTCGCCGCAGTTGAAACGAGCGCACCGCCCGCTTTCTCGAAGCAATTCGACTTCCGACGCGGCCGGCCGCTCTCATTTTGGCGCGTCAAAGAAATGATCAAATGTTTCCAGGGAACTAACTAACTAACTAACCCCTGTCACGTGCTCAAGGACGAGTCGTCGTTGCTTTTTGGCCTTCCGCCTTGGATGTCCTACTTTGGGAGCGGTCACTGAACGCCCCTCGACTCCATCGCCGAATCATTCCATCAGTCTTCACTTTCACCAAAAGTATTTCAAAAAGAAACGATAATAAAGCGGCTCATCTTGAACCGATGGTGACGTGCGTCACCGGAAGTTGTTGGCGCTCAGCGGTTTTTATCGTGATCATTATTCTCATTCGGAGTTTGTTTTGTACAATTCACCAAAAAAAAAAAAAAGGGAATCCGCAGGGCCCAGAGAAGCGTTTTCAAACGGTACGCGGGAGCGACCGTCGTTAACAGGCTATTGCTCATCATGGCATCCGCGTGCGTATGCGTGCGTGCGCAGCAACGGGTCGATCGCGGGAGGTTGGTTGATGGAAAAGTCAATCTTCGGTCCAAAAAGGTCGGCCACCCCTGGTCTCAATCAATCAGTATTGACTCGGAATACGGGACAGATGTGAAAAGCTCCTCAAGAGCAGTCTGACGTTTGCAATGTTTGTGTTGAGATGGATGCTTTTGGTGCGCCCGGGTGTGAAGGCGCTTTTGTGCCTTGTGCGCAGGCGCGGAGGGGAGCGTTAGCATGGACCGCGCCGGGGCGGACGCCGTCGGCGGTGAGTTTCGGCGCGTTTTGCTCGCTTCCCCTTTGGGGACGATCGCTCTCAAAGGGGAAGTGAAAGTCGACGGCCGCGCGGGATGCGGCGAACGCCTCGACGAGGGCCGTTTAGCTTTGAATTTGCACCGTTGTTATTCGAAATTCTCCTCAGCGTTTGGTTGTCGGCGCGCCGTGACATGCCGCCGTCTCAAAGTCTGACGTCTGGCCCGGTCCGGGACGCCGAATGAGATTTATCTGACGCCGCCACCGTCGCAAAGGCCCGTCTTACGGCCTTGCCGAACGCCGTCGCGTTTGTTTTCGCGATGTGAACGAGAAAGGAAAAAGAGCCCATTGAACAGCAACAACCCCCCCAAGACAAAAAACACATTTGAAATGGCGCTTCCCCCCCTGCATCGTGCACATACCCGGCGTGACGGCGACCTGATCTGACTGCAGCTGCAGCGACGATCGCCGCACGCGCACCTCGGCGATTCGGTGAACTCGGAGCGGCGGATCCCGGGTTGGCTTGCTCGCGAAAGCCGCTTTTGCGCTCGAGCGCGGAGCCTCTGCTCACGGCACGCGGGTTCGAGTCCTGCAACTTTTGATTGAGATTGATCGGGGCTCTGTCGCCGCCAGATGGCGCCGTTGAATTTTGCTCCCCAAACGCCAGATGGCGGCGAGGAGATTTCAGGAGCGCGCCTAACCGGGCCGTCTTTCATCCTGGAGCCCTTGAGAAAGAAAAAGAAAGACAAAAAGACCTCAGCGGCGCCCGCGGCTGACATCGTCGCCAGCCTCTGGCGCGCTGCTGTCAGAAGCTCGACATCCGAAAAGCGGCTCGGAGCGCGCGCGCGTCTGTCGAAAATCGCGGGAAAGGAAATCTGCGGTCGCGTGCGCCTTCAATCTTCGAATTTCGCGCCAGCAGAAAGTTCATCGTCTTTATCTTGCACCCGTTTAGGAGAAAATGGGCCCCCCGGTGACGACGGGGCCCCCTCGTGCCCCCCCCCCTCCCCGGCCAGCATCCGGAGGGCGTACGAGGCGGGCCGGCGCGAGACGGCGAGGGACCTGATCAGGAGGGCGGACAAGCGTGCCCACGCCGTGAGTGTCCGAGGCCGGCCCCGACGCCGCGTGGCCCGAAGCTCCGCCCCCGGGAGAACTCGCGCTCGAGCTGAGCCGGAACCCGTCTCAAACGCAACTGCGCGTGGCTTCGAGACAGCCGCCGCCGGCGCTCACCTCCAGACTCGGCTTTGACCGCAGCCGAGCGCGCGATCAACGTTCAGGCCGGGCTCGTATTTCCCACCAGGGGGCGCTCCGGCGGCTCGTTCGGCCCAAAGAGCCGCCGGATCGCATTGGGCGCCCCGCGCCGAGGTTCGTCGGTGCGTACCCACACCCGCGGAAAAGGCCCGCTGACAGCGGACGGAAGGGCGCCGGTGCGAACGCACCCCAAAAGCGCCCTCGTTTCGCCTCGGAGCCGGGAGCCCACCGGAACTCGCATCCCGCAACCGGATCGGCGGTTTGGAGCTCGGCTCGAGCGCCGCCGCCCCC